CTCAGATCAGAGTTACCAGAACCTTATTCTAGACCTAGAATAAGGTTGGCACCAACAATTAACACTGGCTGGCATTTGAGAAGCACCTACCAGCTCTCAGGTCTTCCAGAATACTGCATCTGAAGTAATTTCTCTTTCTAGATCTCACTCTTGGTAACTTTCTCTGTCTTCATTGCTCTGCAGCACTCAAATGGCTGGCAACACAGTTCAGCACTTCTGGAAGCTCAGCAGTGAATGTTACATGTCTTTTTTCTTGATTAATTACCATTTTCATCTGATATGCATGCAAAACAGTATGAGAACTTAGGTGATGAAATTTGCATTTTGAATGACAACAGTGTCACTGTCCTGCACAAGCTTGGTGGGTTCAGCTGCTGGGGTAGATTTCTGTTTGTAAGAGAAGTGATAAAGTCTGAGGGCACAGCTCTAAAAAGCCCTGCTTCAGCCAGAGAAAGTTATCTGTGACTGGCGAGGATAAATATAGGAGATTAGAGTATGGATTTATTTCCCCTACAGGCCATGCAATATATTCTCCATAATCTCACCATAGGCAGCCACAAGGATCCTGTGACAAAGACATATCAGCTGGGTGGAAGACTTGTCATTTTGAATCGATATTATTTTCTGTGTCTTTGTTCCACTGCAAGTACAAATAAATTAGGCCTGGCATTGGGAGTTGGGAGGCAGACCTTCAAACAGAATCATATAATGGTTTCAGTTGGAAAGGATCTTAAAGATCCTCTTGTTCCAGACCCCTGCCATGAGGAGGGACACCTTCCACTAGATCAGGTTGCTCAAAGCTCTGTCCAGGCTGGCCTGGAACACTTCCAGGCATGGAACAACTTCTCTGGGCAACCTGTTCCAGTGCCTCACCACCCTCACAGTAAAGAACTTCTTCCTATTATATAACCTAAATCTACCCTCTTTCCATTTAAAGCCATTACCCCTTGTCCTATCACTACATGCCCTTTTAAAAAGTCCCTCTCCAGTTTTCTTGTAGGCCCCCTTTCGGCACTAGAAGACTGTTGTAAGGTCTCCCCTGATTCTCCTCTTCTCCAGACTGAACAAGCCCAGCACTCAGCCTGTCTCCATAGGAGAAATGCTCCAGCCTGCTGTTCCTCTTTGTGGCCCTTCTCTGGACTTGCTCAAGCAGGTCCATGTCCTTCTCATGTTGGAGCCCCAGAGCTGAATGTAGCACTCCAGGGGGGGTCTCATGAGAGTGGAGCAGAAGGGGAGAATCACCTCACTTGTCCTGCTGGTCACACTTCTTTGATGCAGTCCAGCACATGGCTGGCTTTCTGGGCTGCAAGTGCATATTGCAGGTCACGTTGAGCTTCTCATCAACCAATACGCCCAAGTCTTTCTCCTCAGGGCTGCTCCCAACCCATTCTCTACCCAGCCTGTATTTGTGCTTGGGATTGCCAGGACAGTGCCAGACAGGGAAAAAGTTATGACAGATCTAAAAGACAATATATAGTATCTGCCTATACCACACAGATAAACAGAAATATCTAAGTTATTTACTTTGTAAAAGAAAGACTGTAGGCTCTGGGGTCTGGGATTCAAACTAGCCCAAACAAACAGGTCTGAAGGATATAATCCTGAAAGAAGGCTATAGCATACAGCAGATATGTAGCAGATACACCAGATTGCACTTAAAGCAGGAAAAGTAATTTCAAACTGAAGTTTTGCTGTGTGCTTGCACTTTAAGGACCAAACTTGTGAACAGAAACTGTAAGAGATGTTATATGTGTCCTGGGTTCAGAAGTAGCAGTCGTTTTTCTCCTTCTTAGTAGGTGGTGCAGTGCTGTGGTTTTGAATTTCAGCCTGGCAACAGCGCTGATAACACCAATGTTTTTAGTTCGTGCTCAGTAATGTTTACTCTGACCAAGGATTTTCTGAGTCTCATGCTCTGGCAGGGAGGAGGGGAAGCAGAGACAGGACACCTGACTAACTGACCAAAGAGGTATTCCATAAGACAGCACGTCATGCCCACTACATAAACTGGGGGCAGTTACCCAGAAGGGTTAGGTCACTGCTAGGGTCGGACTGGGTATTGGTTGGCAGGTGGTGAGTTGTTGTATTCTCTTCCCTTGTTATTTCCTTTATCATTATTATTATTGGTGGTAGCAGTAGTGGTTTATGTTATACCTCAGTTACTGGACTGTTCTTATTTCATCCCGTGGGAGTTAACATTCTTCCGATTCTCCTCCCTATCTCCTCCAGGAGTGGTGGGAGGAAGGGGGAGAGTGAGCAAGCGGCTGCGTGGTTCTGGGTTGCCAGCTGGGCTTAAGCCACGAAATTGTGTTATTAATGAAGAACAGTTGGAGCCTGACTTGAAACAGAATGAGAAAAGAAGAAAGGAATTCTGCTGTGGCAAGTTTTGTTTGGGCAGCAAACAGAATTCTGCAAGGTACTCACATTTCTAGATACAATCTTTTTGGCATTTGGTAAACTTTATATGGAATGTATACATTCCACTGTTAGCAGGAACTACAATTACGTCTTTTAAAGCCTTTGTGCCCTTTAAAATTATAGGTCTCCAAATGCTTCATGAAACTGCATAGTATTTCTTTGAAGTATGAACTTACCTCAGAATTTTACTTGAGGACTAATATTCCTTTAAAAGGGATTTTTTTCCACACAGCATGTGAAAGTAACCCAAAGGAAATCACTAGAATTACAATTCAGTTACAAGACTGGTAATGAAGGTTGCATGTTTGTCCATGGGACTGATGCAGAGAGTTGACCAATGTACAGGGGGGTTGTACAAGGGGGTTGTACAGGGGGGTTGTACAAGGGGGTTGTACAGGGGGGTTGTACAAGGGGGTTAGAGGAATTTGCTTGCTTAAACAAAAGTATTGTCTGTTGTAAATGCCTGCTAAGCAGAACAAAGACACCTGGTCCTATTGATAAGGAAAAGCAGACACTTGGTTCTATTGATAAGCAGCTATTGATAAGGAAAAGCAGACGCCTGAATCTACTGATAAGGGGGACAAGCAGATGGTTTATGGCTGGGATACCGACCAAACCCTAAGGCCATACCTGAAGACTAAAAGGTGAAAAGTGCAAGAAGAGGAAGACTCATTTACTTCATCTTGAAGACCCCTACCCACAGGAGGAAGAGTCATTTACTTCATCTCGAGACCCCTGCCCATGACCAGAGGGGGCACTGCGCAGGTGCAGAGGACCTTCTGGCTCACTATAATACGAAGCGGGAATAGGACATGAATATGTATAGGAGTGTTGTGCAACCTTATGAATATATGTAACTTTAGAGAATAAATGTAGAGGGAAACAACACTGAGGCATGCATGACTTTGAGGAATTATCCCCGTGCATCTCAGTGCTGAATAAAAAGCATACCTACTTTACAACTTGAACGAGTCGTGGAGTCAATCCGTGCATCAGGACTGAGAAAGTTGAAAAGAAGAATCTTAACTCCTTCATGTTGTATGGCATCAGGATAACTCTTTTAGCTTTCTAGGCCCATTTATTCCCTGAAAGGAAACCAAACACTCTTCCCATTATCTAAATCTTTCTTAGTCTTGAACAGATTACAATCAATGATATTTAGCACTTCTCACATATCTAAGCTTTTTTTGCCTCTGGCCTGAATCTAGCTCAGTTGAAATGTTTTTTCTGTGGTTATGGGGTTTTATTGCCGGTGATGTGTTTTCCACTGAACTTTAATGACTTCCGAGTTAGATGAGACCAGTTCTGAATTCTGCTGTATCAATCAATCGTAAAATTGTTTCCCCAATCCATCCTGCACAAGGGCAGGCTGAGCCTGGAGTGGAAACCCAGGTGAGGGTTGGGCAGGAGGGAAAGGCCGCTGGTGGCATGAGGCTGCACGGAGCTGCCTCAGTGCTGGGGCCAAGCTTGCAGGTATTATCGAGGCTGCTGTGCCAGGGCAGCCGCCTCCATCCCATGACTCCTTCTCCTGCCTGCAGGCAGCATCTCCTTAGGGAGCCCACGGACGGTCTGCATACGAGGACGCCTAACATGCCCGTGGATGCCCAAGATGAAGCGGTAGCTTCACCGCCCCAGATCCCGGAGCACAGACCTGACCACCACACACTGCCCGAGGAGCACACGACGAAGGAGACGCAGCTGCTTTTCCCTTAGATCTGACCACAAACCTGTGTCCCAGTGCAGCCCTCACCCCGAGCCGGGGCCGCCGCCAAACGCATTTTAACCGCCCCGTCCCGCCCCGGGCCGCGCGGGCCCCAACGATCCTCTCAGAGCCGCGGCGCTGGCGCTTGCGGGCGCGAGCTCCGAGCGTTCCACGCCGCCACCGCGAGCGAGCGAGCGCCGCCTCCTGCCCGCCCGGCGCGGCCCCGCCCCTCCTAGCGCCGCTCCCTCCCGGCTCGCTCCCCGCGTCTCAGCCGAGCCCGCGCCGCGCGCCGCCAAACGGGCGGGCGGGGGGAGCCGGGGTGAGCAGGGGCCGAGTCCAGGTACACAGGAGGTAACGTGATGAGAGGTGAGATCCAGCGCTCTGGAAGCCAGAGCGGGCAAGAGTATTTGAACATGAGAAGAATGGAAAGCTGTCACATCTTCACTCTTGTGCTTCTGCAGTAATGATCTCCTGAGAGTGAAATGGGACCCGAGCCTTACTTGAGTTGTTGCCTGTGAGCAGCATGCAGTATGTTTCAGGAAAAGCCAAGTAATTGGCAGATCTCATTTCCTGGTTAAATTGCTCCTGCAAAACAAACAAGCAAAAAGTTTCAATAGCATGTTAGAGGACTGCAAGTGAACATTGCTGAATCAAAGCAGCCTGCCATGACTAAGGCATGTATATATTTATATATATATATATGCAAGTTATATATTTAGCCTCTGTGTTCATTGTACATGTTGGTGACATGGACAGTGGGATTGAGTGTGCCCTCACCAAGTCTGCTGATGACACCAAGCTGTGTGGTTCAGTTGATACGCTGGAGGGAAGCAATGCCATCCAGAGGGACCTTGACACGCTTGTGAGGCGGGCTGATGCCACACTCCCTCATATGGAAGTATCTGAAGCAAGAATTACAGCACCTTGATTTTGTGTGGTACTCAGTTGCCAGCTGGAGTTAAATCATGACAAATGTATATGGAATCTTGCTTGTTGTCATTTTGTCAGGTATGAAAGCATGTAGTTGCACACACATAAGGCTGACACAAAGAAATGTGGTTTACTTCTGTTACTAACCGTATACCTTATTAATATGAGAGCAAATCTGGAAATTGCTGCATTTGGAAAATATCTGTAACTAAATAAGTGCATAAATAACCCTGGTAATTATTTCAGTGAGTGCTATCATTATGGCCAGCACTGGACAGCATGTGGAAAACTCTGTTTTGACTATGGTAAGCTCAGAGAATGCTAGCCAATATGCAATAGCAGTGTATCACACATCTGCTTTATTTGCACATATCTCTACCTAATGGGTATGAACATCAGCAATGACTACTTACTTTTGATTTAGGGAGAGATGACAATTGAGATGGAAAAGCATATTGAGAGACAGAACCTCTCTTTTAGCACTATATAGATTTTCCATTGACTTCACCTGCACGAGACACACCATTCAAAGATGATCCAGACTGGAAGCATTACTTTCTGTAATAGCCAGAGCTATTATGCTGATACTGTGAAAATGGTTCTTCTCTGTCCTTACCATCCCTTTCTCCCCTGACTTACATTGCATACAGATACTGGGACTGAGAAGGTGCTGTAATAATCATTCCTGAACTGTGTATGTATATCGTGTTATTTATGCAAGGCCTTTGAGAACCTTCTGTATCTTCTTCAGTATCACATTTGGAAGATTAGTGACTTAGCTGTGAAGCTCCTCTAGGCTTTTCTGAAAAGAGGTTCTTTTTTAGCATGTGTTTCTCCTTCCACATTTATGAGACCATCTCTCTGCATTCATGTCAAAATAAAACAGGAAAGAAAACTGCAGAAGTTGGAAAAGCAGAGAACAATGCTTATCCATCCACCTTGAATTCTGTGAGTAATAAATTGGGATTCAACAGTAAATACAGATTAGTTTAGTTGCCAATGTGTAAAATAATTAGACTGTAAGTTTGCAAATTCTGCTGCAGACATGTTATTAATGTAACCCCAACTTATTTTGAAATCATAGCACATATCAAGCTTATTTACATTACTATCACAGATTGTAGTTATATCACTAACACTGTATCACTGTACTTATATCAGCTTTGGCTGAGATGTCAGTGGGCATTTAAGTCCAAAGTATGCATTAGGTAAAGCAGAATGAATAATGTTTGTGATGACCTTAAGGCATGACTGTTATTAATTTCTTTGTGTTTACAGAGGCTGAGCAATGTTCACTTGCTCCAAGTAGTTTGGTGGCAGTCACAACTGCTGGAAATATTTGTATGTGTCCTGTGGAAAAGACTATTAGAGACTGTGGTTATAAAACCTAAACTGTTCAAACCGAGCAGATGTAACTTCTGCTTATTTCCATGGAACTGATAATTCACACAAGCCAATAAAGTATAGCAAATTATGTTTCTTGTATTTCGTGCAACTTGCACAGGGCTGATTGTGACTGTAAAGCCCACATGCATTCAACATTGTGTATCAGTTTGAAAAACACAAATATTCTGGGGACACAAGCAGTGAAAAGAACTTCAGTCAAAAAAGCTGTTAAGAGCAGTCTGGTTTGGCAGAAATTTTGACAGTCCTGTGGCTAATAACAAAGGCTGTTCTCAGACCAAGTCCAGCTGTACATCATCACAGGAGGAGAAGTGGCACACCACAGTCAATTATCATGCCAGCATGCAGCAGCTATATTCCATGTATCTTTTCCAGTCTTCCCCTTGTATGCAAGCTCTTCAGATTTGGAAAAATCATAGGTTTCCTGCCTTAGCAAGAAGCATTCAGCAGTGGTATAACTTCTTGCTGAAGCAGACCAACTGTAAATTGAACTGTTTGCCATACGTGTTGCACTACACCTTTTTTATTCCGTAGTTGTTAAGAGTTCTCATTTTGGTAACTATGTTTACCACTATACATAAGGACATACATTATCCCTGGGGATTCTTATACATCTAAATAGTTCTCTCAGAGGTTAAAGTCAGATTATTTGTGATAGGCGAAACATTGCCAGCTACAATGTACTGGGATATTTTTCAAGCTTCTCCAATGGCGGAAAAGCCAACTACAGCTGCTAGGGTGCCCTGAAACTAGTAAAGACCACTGTGTTTAAAGTCAACAGCAAAACACAGCCAGGCCTAAGCTTCAGAAAGCTGTTGTATTAGGGGTTTTGGTTTTTTTTAGAATTTCACTTCACAGGAAACCAGTTGGAAAAAAAACCAAAACAACACCAAAATTGGTGGTGTATGCTCTGGATCTAGTTCTGGTAAGAATCAAAAAACAAACAGACCCCCCCCCCCAAAACAACAGCAAAAAAACCCAAAACCTAGTCACTTTGCTAGGGATACTCTACTCTGTTAATTCCTTTCCGTATGAAGGAAAAATGAATAAGTCTTTACGAAGTGAGGAGAATTGAAACTATTAAATGCTGTGATCACTTGAAATCACCTGTGGCCGCCTGTTATATCTGACACTATGGTCCCCACTCACAGTACAGGAAAGTATTTTGTTGACCACTATATATTATTTGCTCATAAACAAGTGAAAGGGGAGAAAAGGGGAGAGCTGCTTAAATTGTGTTATCTTAAGTTAGTATTTTGTGCGCATCATCACTTTTATCTACTTATCTTTGGATCCCTTAATGATTTAGAAAAATGTGGCAAAGCAATTTGTTGAAGATTGCACAACTAAAGAAATATTGATGGCGGTTCAAATCTGTTATTCCTATCAGGCAGCCATTTTCCTCCCGAATATGTGTCAGAACTATTAATTTGGATGTATTCCAGGGATTATTTGAAGTGGTTATAGAGGAAATGGCTGGTATACACAAAGTAAGTGATTGCCAACCATTTTGTCTTAGATATCCTACCTGCAGTTTTCACTTAATATGACACCAAATTCTGATCTTATGTAAAGCATTTTTGGGTGTTTCTGAGACAATAAAAATCATTCTTATCTACAGAAGCTGTACCTATGTGTCAATAAGGGCTTCTCTGTACCCACCAAATCCCATAACCAACAGTTAATCTCCTTTCATACTGAAATATCACAATGAGGTCCAAAAATGATCACAGGAATTTTTATTTTACTTTTTTTTTAATCTGGAAGGGGGTGTAGTTGGAGCCAGTGACTCTTCTGGTAACCTTTATCACCTAAGCATCAAAATGAGCACAGTTTAAGGGAAGAAAAAGAAGGAAACAGAGGTGAAGTGACCGAGGTCATGACCTCTTAGAGGAGAATTGAGTACAGAATGCAGCTTTCTCATTCCCAGTCAAGTTCTCAATCCATCAACAAAGAGAATACTTTTCCTTTTGTGGTACTTTTTAATGCCTATTAATTACTATTTTAATTTCACGTAAGAAGCTAATGGTCTTAGTATTTTTTTCTCTTCAAAAAAGCACAGAAATATAGACTTGCATTAACTCCGTGATCCTATGCTACTAAAAGAAAGCTCCAAAATTCTGACATGGTAGTGATTGAGAAATAAAAGTATTTGGGAATTCTTAGGGATTGTAAACTTTAATAGAGGAATGGAGCCAAAACCATTAAGCAATTAATGCATTGTTTCTTTTGGGCAAGACAAGTAGCCATATGATGCAGAGATGAAGAATATTCTAACAATGAACACTGGAGGCAATCCAGACTAGGTCACAGGGGATTGCTTCAGTTTTAAACAGTAAATCTAACAGGATTCAGCATAGTCATTGTGATAGTCATATTATTCCACAAACTTCGTTCACACTGAAGAACACAGAAGGATGTAAGTAACTTTGATACATTCAATAGAAATAATCACTTAATTAAATACAGGTTTTGCAAAATCCAGTCCTGAGAAAGCAAAGGCAGTAATAATACCTGTATTGATTCTAATAAAGGACTTTTATTTTTCCAAACTCTCATCAAACTAAAGGGAGAGGTAGGCCTTACCAGACCTGTGCCAGTCCAACTTTAGATTAGAAAGTAATAAGAAGGAAGCTAGTTTGAATAACTGACATCACAGACCACTGGAATTAATTCTTTCTTCAGGACAGTTCATGATACATTTACTACAAACAAACAGACTGTCAGCTCAGAGAAGAGAAGTTGATACTGAAGTCACTTGTTTTTCTGCACTTTCAGTGACTGATAATGAAGGTTGCATGCTTGTCCATGGGACTGAGAAAGTTGAAGAAGAATCTTAACTCCTTCATGTTGTATGGCTTTAGGATAACTCTTAGCTTTCTAGGCCCATTTATTCCCTGAAAAGAAATCAAACACTCCCCCCATTATCTAAATCTTTCTTACTCTTGAACAGGTTACAATGAATGATATTTTACACTTCTGACAAAGCACTAAGCTTTTTTTGCCTCTGACCTGAATCTAGCTCAGTTGAAATTTTTTTTTCCGTGGTTATGGCGTTTTTTTGCCAGTGATGTGTTTTCCAGTGATCTTTAATGACTTCTGAGTTAGGTGAGACCAGTTCTGAATTCTGCTGTAATCATTCAATCATAAAATTGTTTCCATGCTTTCTACAAGTATTCAGATACAGTAATGAGATCAAAATGCAGATGCTAATGGGCTAGAACCTTTCTGATCTCCTAGGGGGAAAGTGCTAATGAAGGCCTGAAATGTACAAAGAAGAATAGTCAGGGGAAGTGCTGACCATTCTAAAATTTGCACTTTTTCAAAACTGAAATTTTATGCTTGTTAGCAAATGTGAGGAAACTCAATTACCTTTAAATAAAATGTTGTACTGTACAAGCTATTAGTTGTATGACGTTCTCCATCTCTCTTTAAGCATACGAATGCCAAAATAGGCTCAAACTGCTTAGAAAAATGTCCACCAGCAACCAATTAGGGAAGAAAACAGCTGTATCATCTACAGGCAGGCAAGCAGTCTACTTGGGAGGGACTTGATTCCTCCCTACTAGTGGCATTGCGCGAGAAGTTTATGAATGCAGAGATTCTGGTCATTCAGCCTCAGGTACAGAATTTCAAGTATTTTGTGTAGTGTGGACAAGGTTCCATTTCCTTCTGTTGTTGCACCCTGTGTAGCTGACTCTTGTGAAACTATCAAATTAGGTACTGGTTTTAGTTTATTTATAGAGCATTAAATAACAAAAATAGCAGTGGTGAATTTAATGAGTTGTTTTTGCTGCAACCATAAACATCTACCTTTCAGGAATAACAAAACATGAGGTTGACAAAGAATGAGGCTGGAGGGAGATAGAGGGCTGTAGCTGTGAGATGCCTGATTTTTCATTTATAGCCTACCCATAATTATGAAGAACAGTTTCCAGTACTCAAACATCAGATAAAGGCTTAGGGTTTTGACAAACTAAATACATCACAGTAAGCAGTACTTGTTCACATTTGGCAAGCTTCGTTCCTTGCAGAAAATGCTATGTCCACAAATTCACATTGAATAAAGATTACTTTTTCATAGCCATGATGATATACATGATAAGTTGGTAACCACAACTCCACCTCAGAGAGAGTTTGTTTTGCTCTGCCCATTCTCACACCAGCACATCATTCATCAAAAAAAACAAAAAACTGTCTGCCCTACTTACAAAAGCTGGACATCATGTAAATAATTCACAGAGTGGTAGTCTCTTCTATTAACTGCATACCGAAAGACTCTGCCTTGCACATGAAATATGGCTGAAACTGAAACCGCTGGCTTAGTCTTCTAGAACCAGATGGCACATGTGCTCTGTAAAGCAAAAGATATACCTGACCTGTGAATGAGAAATATGGGTTTTTTTGATAGATCAGGCATGAAGAAGCTGTTATACTCTTGTGGATCAGTCATTTATTAGGATTGTGTTCATAACATTGGGTCTGCAACACAAACAGGAATTCTCGCCTAGTGAATATTAACTAATTCACCAAAATGTCTTTTATTCTGCTTATATTTTACATACTTAAAAGTCAAGAAATATTCAGGTTAAAATGGAACTTCAGGCTCTTGCTCATTGGATAACATCTTTACCTAGGATGAAGGATCCAAATATATGTACCACTCTTTCTTTCTCCTCTGGGAGATCTTGCATCTCCTTAGTGTCCTCTTTTCAAAAGAGGATGCTTTGGATGGCAGACAGTAGACATTGCTGCTCTCTAGCAGCACTTCTCAGCTTCAGCATCAGAGTACAGGATCACAACGGAATAAGGCAGGAAGATAACATAAGGAAACCCAGACAGAATGCTGCAGGAAAGGAAGAGAAAGGGAAGTTTCATATTCCTCTGGTACTTGGCACTGGAAATTGGCATCCATCCTTCTTCACTCACTGTCCTATGGTTCCAATCAATTAAGGATGTGAGACAAAGTCAACAAGTGGGTCTAGAGTCAGGTAATTGACAGTGAAAAGGAAGAAAGGAAAATCAAAATGAGAGAGTGACGGGATCATAGAGAAGAAATAGAAAAAAATAGTAAAGAAAAGGAGTGCAAACCCCAAAACATGAAGAAAAATACCCCCAAAGAAGGCAATGAGAACAGAAATAGAGACCGTCCAAGAGGGAGAGTAAAAAAGTGTGTGAAGTTATGCAAGTTACAGCTAAACCAGACTATTTTGCTTTTAGAAACAGAAAGAATATGGAGGGCCTTGTGCACGCACAAAGCACAAACTGCTGCGTTCACATATCCACATCTCTTACCTACCGCAACTGTTGACAAACATCGATCATCACGCATTACTGTACATGACTGTAGGTAGATAAACATGTCACAAGCATGTACTAGAAAGAATTGGTAAGAAAAGTATATAATTAAAATGCTCTTCTGCTTAGAATTCAATACTACTAAATAAGATCTGAGAGATCAGGGTCTCTAGAGAGGACTTGTGTCCCTGCTGGCACAGGTGCAAACTATAAGTATTCTTCAACCACTTACTCAGATGGTGAGATGGCCTCTCACCATCGCTATTCATACAGCTTAGCCAGGGGTTGTACTGCCAACCTCCATCATCTAACCTCTGCTCCTCCTCATTTGTCTCTGCTATTCCATCTTTCTTTTATCTTGAAAGTACAGAAGTGGGTAAATGATGTGAAAACATGACTAACTCGCACGCAAATTTGCCAGGTTGCTAAGGGAAACACACACTGCAAGAAGCATCTGCTCCCTGACTGTCCTCCTCTGTCCTAGCACAGTCACTTCACTTTCAGGAGGCTTACATGGACTGTCCTTGCTGACTCTTGGGAATATGCTAATAGGCTCTGTGATTTCCTTTCACAAATACTGGACATTTTGTATCTTCACTTTCACTCAGCCTGAAGAGAAATCTGACCCATGAAAAGCGAACACAAATAATCTATGTTCTTGTATGGTGACCTTTCCTGCAAGACCAAGATACAATCTGAATAAACGAAAACTGGCCATAATACTGCAATGCTTGTATTGTCACTTGTAACTCAGACTTTATGAATCTAACCATCACAAACACACAAGAACCCACTAACACTTCAAATACATTTTAAACCAGTTACCACTTAGAACACACCAGACACAAACCTTCAGCCTTTCCCACATGCCACCTCCAGTGCTTCACACGTGTCTGCAGAAAGTGGCACTTACCATTTTTCCCTCCAGTTACACAACTTCCTAACAAGCCAAGCGCATACTAGAAAGGGCACTTTTCCCCCCAGATATCCCTGCAATTCAAAGAGTCTGGAAACAGCCTGTAGGTTCAAAAGTTCAACGGTATCTCCAGTCTGGTGTATCAGATAGGAAAACAGCAAAATGACATCAAAGCCTGAATGTTCACCTGCATTAGCTGGGAACAACGTAATTTCATAGGAAAAGTGTTTCACTCTTCAGTTTCTCTTGCCTGGGCACTGCATGGCACTGCCCCACATAGTGGTGTCACACCAGGAGACAGTCCATCTGCCACCATTTCCAGCAGCGGCACCTCAACTGGCACCTGCAGCTCAGGCAGTGAGAGCTACCAGCAGGTGCGACAAGCTGCTGCCTGTGACACCAGCACCCCCTGCACTTTGTGCCAGTACCAGCGAAACAGCCAGCAGCAGCACAGGTAGTGGCCACCAACAGCTTGTCCCAACTGCTGCTCAGCTGTGCCACATCCGCACTGAAGGCATCAGAGCTGCGTGGCTGGAGAGCAGTAGGCCCGCCCCACACAGCCCTGCTGACTAATCCGCAGGGGTGAAGGGCACACACATTGTGAGCAGGGTTCTGAGCAAGGACTGTACAGGATGCCAGGGACCCTGCTAGCTGCCAGCAGCACGGCAGGACTGGGCACGTTGCTGGGCTCCGGTGATGAGAACAAGAACAGACAAGGTCTGGCCAGCCGATGGCAGGAAGACTCCCACCAATCAGCCCGCACCTGATCCTCACATTCATGGGGGGATAGTGCTTCCAGAGGAGAAACTTGGGGAGAGTGGCAGAGCACAACCCAGCAATGCTGCCTGCTCACATCAAGGGCTGCCTCAACAGCAAGTCACTGGGCCTGCACCAGAAGGCATTTGCACAGTGTCTCGCCATCCACTCCAACAACATGAAGCCTTGAGAGATGTGGAGAAGAGCTGCATGGCTGAAGCTCCTGAACAAGAGGAGAACCATGCACCACTTGCTCCTGTGGCACAGGGACCAACTCGACCTGGCTGCAGCAGCACATGTGCAAAGCCACACTCTTGCACTGTAGAGTCCCACAGAAAATGACACTCTTCTGCAGGTCACATCCAGGTGCACCACAAAAAAATTCCGGTTCAGGGATGTGGTCGAAAATAAGTCAAAAGCACCCTGGCTCTGGCAAGCAGGACACAGCAGCACAGCCCCACAGAAAATGGCACAGATCTGCAGGTTATATCCAGGCACATTCTGAAGAAGTTCCGGTTCAGGGATGTGGCTGAGATGAAGTCAAAGGCACCAGCTTCTACTGGCTTTGGTGAGCAGGCTCACACACAGAGCAGTACATACACAGGGCCCAGCACCTGCTCTGCAGCGCCTCACAGCAACTGACACAGTTGTGCAGCATGCAGTCAGGTGCATTGATAGGGAACCTATGGGACAGTCTGTGTCTGTGGTGCAGGGAATTAGCCAGCAACCTGTAGAAGAGGAGGCCATGACCCAGAGTTTGGATGCATTGACGCCAGAAAGGACACCTGCAGCAGCTGAGCACTCCTAGTCTTCGGAGGCTGCACAGCCCCAGGGCCAGTCCATCACAGCCGTTGCCTCCCTGGCAATATATGAGGATGAAGCGGTAGCTTCACCGCCCCAGATCCCGGAGTACAGACCTGACCACCACACACTGCCCGAGGAGCACATGACGAAGGAGACGCAGCTGCTTTTCCCTTAGATCTGACCACAAACCTGTGTCCCAGTGCAGCCCTCACCCCGAGCCGGGGCCGCCGCCAAACGCATTTTAACCCCCCCGCCCCGCCCCGGGCCGCGCGGGCCCCAACGATCCTCTCAGAGCCGCGGCGCTGGCGCTGCGGGCGCGAGCTCCGAGCGTTCCACGCCGCCACCGCGAGCGAGCGAGCGCCGCCTCCTGCCCGCCCGGCGCGGCCCCGCCCCTCCTAGCGCCGCTCCCTCCCGGCTCGCTCCCCGTGTCTCAGCCGAGCCCGCGCCGCGCGCCGCCAAACGGGCGGGCAGCTGGGGTGGAGAGAGGAGGGGAGCGCCGCCGCCGGTCTCGCACACGCGAGAGCAGGCGCGGGTGGAACATATCGCCCGGCTTTCCCGTTCGGCGACGGCAGCCCTTAGGCCCCACGGCGCCGGCTCCAGCTCCCCTTCTTCCGCCCAGCCGCTGCCATGCTGTCCCGCCGAGAAGGCCGATGGAGCGGGCGCAGTCCCCTCTCTCCCCACCGCCCCCGCCTCCCCCACGCTCCCCGGCACAGGCGCGCCCTACCCGCACCGCGCATGCACGTACCCCCGCCCCCGGCGCGCGCGCGCGCACTGGGCGCTCGTGCAGGAGGCGGCGGTGACGATCCGAGAGACGCGCGCGGACGCCCCCTTCCCCCCCCCCCCGGCTCCCCCTCCCCAAATTCCCCCCTCCTCCCTCCCTCCATCCTTCCCTCCCTTCCTTTTCCCCCCTTATCCCCGGCCCCCTCCCGCTTGGTGGCGGCAGCGGCACCGGCAGCCCCCCGCGCTCCCCGGGAAGTGCGGGTCCGCGCGCGCGCGGGCGGCAGGTAAGCGCGAGCCCTCTCACTATTCCTCCACCCCCCCCATTCCTCCCCTCACGCCCAGCTGCAGGACCGCCGTTGCGGTGCGCGCGCCCGCGCTCTGCCGCTGCCGCCTCCATCAGCCCCATTAACGCTGGCGCTGGGTGAGATGGAGGCGCCGCGGGCGCGCCCGCCGCCGCCAGCAGCAGCAGCAGCAGCAGCCCGGAGCACGTCGTGCGCCTGCCTCCAGCGCGCGCGGTGGGTGGGGGGTGGAGGGCGAGGACAAGTCCAGCGATGGGTGCGCACGTTGGGGCGCGCGCTCCCCGCGCGGCGGCCGCAACAAAGGGGCGCGCGGCCGCGGCCTGTCGGCGGCGCGGGCGCCGCGCGAGAACCGTTGGAGAGGGGAAGGGAGGGAGGAGCGAGGGAGGTGGAGGCGCCGGCTCCGCGCAGTCCCGTGAGGCGGCGCGGGGCGGCGGTGGCGCCGGGCTCGCTCTGGAGCGGGGCCGCCTGCTGCTCGCGGGCGCCGCCTCCCTGCCGCAGGGCCGCGCCCGACCCCGGCGGTGGCGGCGCGGGTTCTCGTGGCCGCGGCGGCCCGGCTGGGATGGGCTGCGCCCTGCCGGGAACCCGCCTGCGCCGCGTCCTCGGTGGCGGGTGCATGGAGCGGGCGTGCGCCTGACTGCCTCTGAGGGCACAGGCAGGGCGGTAAGCGCCGCTCCAGCGCGCCTCCAGAGCCGGGAGAGCTGCCGCGGTGAGGCACCGAGCTTGTCTCAGGCGGCAGCTGCAGGAGCTGCCAAAACTATTTTACAGGGTATATAGGAAAATACAGGACGTATTTTCCCCTTTCCTGCGGTGGTAACGGTAGTGTGTAAAGTGTGTGTGCAGGAATAATTAGAATCGCCCCGTGGAATAAGTAACGTAGTTGCAATGGGAGTTACCCCCTGGCTTCAGTCGGTGCTGGAGGTACTCCGGTCAAGTGCCTGCCCTACTCTTCTCGCAGAGTAGTATCTCTTTTTCGCAACAATTACATGCCCCTGCCTACTCTGCAACACTGTTTTCAGCCAATTGCTACATCTGTATCGTTCTGATTTAAGAAGTCTCAGCAGAATTGCATCAAAGTTGCATATAGTTTAACAAAACAGGGTGGGATTGCTGCTAGATTATCAACAGTGACTTTTGGCTGTTTGCTTAAAAAGAAAGCATTTTTCCCACCTTGCAAAGAATTCTATAAACGGACACTGTTGAAATAGTTTTGTCCTGCTGTGTTTGGTGCTGGATTGGTGCATTTTCCTGGGACAGTAGACCCAGAGAGCCAAGAAAAATGCACACAGTGTTTTTTGGGTTTGCTTTTCTTTGTGTATTTCAAATATTTGTGTATTTGGCTATCTTAACATATTATTATTTAGGACTAAGAAAAGAATTTTTACTTTCCTTAGTTTGTTTTGTTTTGTTTGTGGTTTGTTTTTTTTTTGTAACCAGTGCGCCATATGCTGAGATGCGAAGGCATTTGTAGGGAGCCAAGTGTGCCCATACCATGTTAAACACCCAGCACTGTGGGTGGAAGTTGTATGCCTGTCACCTACTTCCATTTTGTATATGGCCAAGGAAAGATTAGACTTCAGGAAAGGAGCTCTCAATAGCTCTGTGTCAGGTGGTGGAGGGTTTCTGCTCAACCATATATTAAGTTTCCCTCCTTTCTGCTGCATTTCCTGCTTCTATCACAGTTAGATGCCTGTGGGAGATTGGGGTTGAATAGTTTCAATTATGTGTTTTGTGTTATCCTTTTGCTGTTTAAGCATCTCCCTTGTGAGCTCGCACCTCAGCAGGCAAATCATATAGTGGGCTGCATCCAAAGGGGTGTGCCCAGCAGGTCGAAGGAGGTTATTCTGCACCTCTGCTCTGCTCTGGTGAGATCGCACCTGGACTACTGCATCCAGCTATGGAGTCCTCAGTGCAGGAAAGATATGGACCTGTTAGAGAGGGTCCAGAGGAAGGCCATAAAAATTATTAGAGGGATGGAACACCTCTCCTGTGAGGAAAGGCTGAGAGAGTTGGAGTTGTTCAGCCTGCAGAAAAGAAGAATCCAGGGAGACCATACTGCAGCCTTTCAGTACTTAAAAGGGGCCTATAAGAAAGATGGGAGAAGCTTTTTAGCAGGGCCTATTGCAACAGGCCGAGGGGTAATGGTTTTAAACTAAAAGAGGGGAGATTCAGGCTGGGCGTGAGGAAGAAATTTTTTTACAATGAGGGTGGTAAAACTCTGGCACAGATTGACCAGGGAGGTGGTGAATTCCCCATCCCTGGAGACATTCAAGGCCAGGCTGGATGTGGTTCTGGGCAACCTGATCTAGTTGAAGGTGTCCCTGCCCATTGCAGGGGTGTTGAACTAGATGGCCTTTGAAGGTCCCTTCCAACCCAAACTATTCTATGTTTGTATGATTGTTTGGAGATCTGGTATCTCTGGTGTCATTTTCCCTGGTCCTGAAATGCACCCCCATCCACGGCCCAGTCTGCTGTCCTTTCGGGTGCTTGGTCTGCTTGCCAGGCCCTCTGCTAAGCCAGCTCAGTCCACTGGTTCAGCAGAAGACTCACCACCTTCTTGATGGGTTGGTTACTGGGTTAGTGGTGGTGATTCCTGTTGAGGAGTTTTTCAGACTTTTAGATGTAGTGCAAAGTAAGTAGCAGGGATGTGGAGTCAGG